TGAGAGTGACGAGAGCCAGGAAAGTATAGTACACACTCCCTTAGGATACACAGAATCGTTGTTTTGAGGTCCCGTTTAGCGAAATGGATCATTCAAGGGAGGTGCTGAAGTCCCATAGTGAAATTTATAAGGTTTATGGGTTTTTAGTGCAAGGCGAAACACAATACTTAGGGCCCTGTTGTTCAAACGTTGAACAACAGGAAATCACTATCAAGCGAATAAGAAGAAGCAATTGCGTTACTTATTGGATATAGATTTATCCAGGGGAAAGCGTTAGTCCCGGGGGCGTTAGTCAACTTTTCGAACATACAGCCCCTCAGTCACTCTCCTCCGCAGACTTACCCTGGGTAGACTACGAGTAGTCCCCCATTTTTCCTCAGGGATAGTAGAGCGAGCGAAACGCGAGGGCGCGTGAAAATTACCCCATGCGAGAAAAGGCACGCGCACTCGCGTTTCGCTCGCTCTACTATCCCTGAGGAAAAATGGGGGACTACTCGTAGTCTATACCCTGGGCTATGGGGCGCCTTTGTAAAAAAAATGATATAGCTTAATTTTGTCATTTTTTTCGTTATTTATTAAATAAAGTTTTCTGATATGATATCATACGTCAATGATTTGATATAATAAATGTTGATTTCAAATCATGCGTTTATGATTTGATATAATAAATTATTATTTAAAATCATGCGTTTATGATTTGATATAATAAATTATTTTTTCAAATCCTGCCTTTATGATTTGATATAATAAATATTGATTTCAAATCATAAGTTTATGATTTGATATAATAAATCCTGATTTCAAATCATTCGTTTATGATTTGATATAATAAATCCTGATTTCAAATCATAAGTTTATGATTTCATATAATAAGTTCTCATTTTAAATCATAAGTTTATGATTTGATATAATAAATCCTGATTTCAAATCATAAGTATTATGATTTCATATAATAAAAATCATTATTTGATATCAGTAAAACCATGATTTAATTTAATAAGTAATAAGTAACCGCGTGACTTGGCACGTGGGTTACTACCGCGGGAATAATCGCAAAAAAGGGCGACACAACCAAATCAGCTATCGAGCTTTGGCATCCCTTCCGAACATATATATGCTACTGCGATTTGTCGCCAAACCAGAGTCTCAATGTTACGCCTGTACAATGATTTTTGTTCGCCAAGGACGCTTGGACCGATGTCACTAACTAATAATTTCTCCTCCCGGTGTTGAGGTGTAAATAGCCCTTTGTTTGTCTCGATCTCTTGTTCTATGACGAACTGTCTTGTCGCCTCACTTTGTGAAATAGAAACAATCATTAGCTGTATGTTATTTTAGTATGGCTACTAAAAGGACATAACAAAGGAAGCAAACACATCTAAAAGTAAGCCGCGCGTGTCACGCAATGCGCCAGACAAGCGAAAGGTCCAAAAGTCCTCTTTCCCTCGTAAATATGGTCATAGCTTTCAGCAGTGATACATCCTCGGGGGGCCGCCCGGGACTCCAAATGGGCACCCCGTTCTAAAAAAAATATCCCCTAAAACTGATACCCCGTTCTAGATATGGGCCAATTTTTTTATATCCCGTTCTAGAATTCGCCAACTGATACCCCGTTCTAGAAATGGGCCGATTTTTTATACTCCGTTCTAGAAAGTTCGTAAATTGAAATAGCCCTGTTTTTTTAAAAGATATTTCTTTATTTGTTCGACTTATACATCAAATAGATGCTTCTTCATAATCAGCAACAATTTTAAGCAGAAGATAAAGCCATGATCCACAATTTTTTAACACCCCGTTCTAGAAAACGCCTCTGAAATGGATACCCCGTTCTAAATCAGGAGCTTCAAAATCACGACCCCGTTGGGCGGCACATATACCCGTACAGGTAATGTATGAGAGTACCCCCCACCCCGATACATCAATGTTACATACCTCTTGTGTCGCAGCAGCAAAACCTGAATTGCCAGGAAGGCTCGGAAGGGATGCCAAAGCTTGGTCAACCGCCCTTTCTACGGCTCTAGAGACCCTAGAAGCGATTGACCTCGATAGCTGATCTGGTTGTGTCGCCATCTTTGCGATTATTCCCGCGCTAGTAACCCACGTGCCAAGTCACGCGGTTACTTATTACTTATTAAATTAAATCATGGTTTTACTGATATCAAATAATGATTTTTATTATATGACATCATAATACTTATGATTTGAAATCAGGATTTATTATATCAAATCATAAACTTATGATTTAAAAATCAGAACTTAGTATATGAAATCATAAACTTATGATTTGAAATCAGGATTTATTATATCAAATCATAAACGAATGATTTGAAATCAGGATTTATTATATCAAATCATAAACTTATGATTTGAAATCAATATTTATTATATCAAATCATAAAGGCAGGATTTGAAATCAGAATTTATTATATCAAATCATAAACGCATGATTTTAAATAATAATTTATTATATCAAATCATAAACGCATGATTTGAAATCAAAATTTATTATATCAAATCATTGACGTATGATATCATATCAGAAAACTTTATTTAATAAATAACGAAAAAAATGACAAAATTAAGCTAAATCATTTTTTTTACAAACGGCGCCCCATACTGGGCGACCAGGATAGGGGAATATAATACTCGACCTTCCTTGCATCATCGCGAGAGCCTATAGCCTTCACTTTCTTTTGGCTCGTCCTACAATCCTACCTAACGTTCGTGGGACAGGAAAGTCTGCGTGCGAGGCTTGGGAATCTAGGGAGACTATGGTAGCATGGTGCAAATAGCCGGGATGAGCTACTTTGTCCACACGAACCAAGAGGATTGGGTCTGCTAGAAGAAATCAGGTGTAGCTTTCTGTGATAAGTAATATTCCAACAGTATAGGATCATAGTTTGAAGCCATTTCACAATCACTAGTTTCCCCGGACCTCTACCGGCGAGTTGTGGACAAAAGCAGCTGATAGCTGTATGCGAACCTTTTTTCCACAAAATGGTTTCTGGGTTTGCGTATTCGACAGTGTCATGTATTGCTTTTTTTTTAATCTTAATCGAGGTCTTTTTTATTATGTACTGTCTATCTGACTGACTGTTTCTTTGTGTTTTTTTTCTGGTAATAACAGGTTTCATAATTTGGTCGTGGTTGGGGTTATAAGCTCCTGATCGTGAGCAAATAGCGAAAAAATCAACAAGCAAAACCAAAGTGAACTATAGCGTTGAATCCGTTGGCCACGGAGAATTGGTATTATTCTGCAAGTTCTTTACTACAGCAAGAGAGTATACTCCCTTGACTATGGGACATTGGGCCGGGGGAACTTAGTATTTTGACCCGGCATAGGGGAGGAGGGGAGGGGGAGGGGGAGGGGGTACTCTGGCCAGATTCCAAGTCACGGGGATGATCGAAGTATGTTTTTTTTGGTTTGAAAATATTTTGAACAAATTTTTTTTTTTTTTTTAGCTGTGGCTTTACTTAAGTATTCAAAATATTCGTTCTTTTTGGTCTTAATTTTCCTTCCACGGATCACTCACGACACTTGGAATCCGAGGTACCCCTCCTGTTTAGTACTTCGAAGGCAAAAAAGCTGTTTCAAAGCCTAGTAGGTAAATAAAAGAAAAATAAATATGCATGGCTGTTTCTACTGCGATGAGAGGATTTCTTGTCAAAAAATGTGAAAACTGTATTAAAATTGCTGACAACAGCTACGAAAATTTCGTGACAGCATGCTGACGTGACTAAAGCGTGTGACCAATTTCCGGTCACACGCCAAAGGTCATACGATCTTGTGCGATGTTTATTATCAGTCGACGAACGATTGAAGTGATGAAAGGTTTTCAAAATCGAAGTCATTAGTTTGCAATGAATTTTTATTCCTTTTGCCTCCTGACTGAAGTAAAAACTCTTGTAACTCTTGCTTCGACGTGTTGTGACTTTATTTCGATTCACGGCCAGATTCGGACGCAGTTGCTGAGCAAACGTACGTTTGTCTTTTGGCTAAAAATTATATATTTTGTGACTCAAAACGACGCAAAAGAAGTTGGAAATAACTTTCCTTGCCGTAAAAACGTGTTACAAGCAATGGTGAGTAATCCTTTCATGTAAAACCTTTCTTTTAGTTTGACAACCGTTCGCAAGCCGTCTAATTTGCATAAATTTCCCAATTCAATTGCTCTCACCGCTTGCTTTGGTGTCAGGATGATATTTGATTTCCAGAGCTAAAACTTTCCAGTAAGTTAGT